TTTCGAGGGCTACAAGAAACGAAGTGAGTAGCCTACAAGATTGAAGCTGGTCAGATAACGAACGAGTAAATGAAAACGGAATGAGGCGGAGAAGTGTGTGTGTGTGTGTGTATGTGTATGTGTATGTGTATGTGTGTGTGTGTGTGTGTGTGTGTGTGTGTGAGAGAGAGATTAAAATAGCCCAATTGCTTTTACAATAAATAAACATTGAATGTGTTTAATTGAATAGTAAAGGGGTTTAACGTTAGTGGCAGGGTGTGTGTGAGAGAGAATAAATAAGACAGCCCAATATTTTAAAAAATTGTTATTCTTTTCCCCCGCATATTTAGCATATTTAGCATATTTAGCATATTTAGCATATTTCCGCATATTTCGCAACTTCCCGCAATTTCACCGCATAAAATCACATAAAAAGCATGTTTAATCGCATAATCAAGGATTTTAGCCCGCGTTTTTCTGGAGGGTCTAATAAACGTTGTGTTTTAAAATGTGTTAAAACACAACACACTTAAATGAAAGAGAAAGAAAGTGGGAAGTCTCACCTGTTCTTTGTCCTTGAGCATCCTCTCCACGGTCGCACTCTTCTCGCTCACTGCCGTCAGCTCAAACTCCTTCTCTCTGAGCAGCAGTGAGAACTGCATGTTGGTTTCCTGCAGCGCTCTGAACTCGGACTCCTTCTCTCGAGAGCGCGACGCCACCAGCTCGTTCTCCTCCTTCAGCTGCCTCCCGTCCAGCTCCAGGATCAGAGCGCGCTCCTTCAGGTTGGTCACGGCCTGCTTCAGCACCTCGTTATCGTTGTCGCGGTTGCGCAGCGCCTCACTCACGTGGCCCAGCTGGTCTCCTTTGCTTTTGATGAGCAGGTCTTTCTCCCTGACGGACCTCTGCAGGGCCTCCAGCCTCTCTTTGACCAGCCGCACCTCCTCCAGCTGATTCCTCTGCTCGCTGTCCGTGTCCGACGCCGAGTTGGACAGCCGGTGGTTGTTCTCCTGAAGAGTCCTGATCATGTGTTCCTTCTCGGCTAACTGACTTCGCAATCTGGTGATTTCTTCCCGCGGTTTCTCACCGCTTGATGTCGGGGGGGGGTGCTGGCTCGGAGCATCAGCTACGCCTTCTGGAGTCGGGGCGACGCAGTCCAGTTTCCCCAGCAGCACGTCTTTCGTGGTGCTGAGCTGCGAGATGCTCTGCTGCACCTGAGCCAGCTCCTGACTCAGACTCCCGAGCCTCCTCTCCTTGTGCTCGTAGCTCTGGATCAGCCCGGCGTAATCCACGGACAGCTTGGAGGAGCAGTCGCTGTCGGCAGAGACTTGTCCCTGCAGCTTCATCAGCTCGTCCTGCAGCTGCGCAGACTCGTGCTGCATGTTCTTCACCGTGGTGATCACCTGCTGCTTCCACTCCTCCATCTTCTTCACCTGTTGCTTCAGCGTGTCTCGCTCCTGCAGCAGCTCCTCGAACTGGTTGCTGCTCACGCCCCCGGAGCCCCCGCCGCTCTCCCCTCCCGACGCCTGGAGCACCGTCACCAGCGTCTGGCACTTCTGCGTGAGCGCGTCGATCTCGATGTCTTTCTCTCGGATGATGCGCGACAGGTTCTGGATGGTCTCCTTGAACATCTCCTGGCTCCCCGAGGGGTCGCTCATGGTGGAGAGGCGCTGGTTCTCCTGCTGCAGCTTCAGCAGCGCCGCCTCCTTCCCCTGGATGATGTCCATGAGGCGGTGGTAGTCGGAGCGCAGCTGGCTGTTCTCCCTGGCCTTCTCGTTGAGCACGGCGATCACCTGCTCCCTCTCCACGGCGTACGCCTGCAGCTGCTGCTGGAGGTACATGACGTCCTGGCTGTGGCCGCCCCCTGTTGCCATGGAGACCCGAGCATGCAGCGCCTGGATCTCCAGGTCCTTCTGCAGGACCATCTGAGACAGTTTTCCTGCCTCCTCCCGGGACACCACCAGCTGATCCAGCTGTCGGGTCAGCGAGATGTTCTTCTCGTTCAGCTGGGTGATCTCCGTCTCCTTCTCCTTGATGCCTCTCACCAGCTTGTCGATTTCCACCTTGGACAGGTCGTGTTTCTCGTTGTCGTTGTCCTGATTCAGAGTCTGGCTCTTCTCCTCCTGCAGGATGACGTCTCCCTGCACGACGGGGGAGTGCACTCCACTCTCGCTGAGCTGGTCCTGGAGGCGGGACACCTCCTGGTCTCTGGCGCGGATCAGCCGGTCGTAGTTGAGTGTCGTCTGCTGATGGCGAGCGTGAGCCCGCTCCAGCTCCGTCTGCTGAGCCTGTGAGGACTGCTGAGACAGGAGCATGGAGGCCTGCAGCTCCTCCGTGCACCTCCTCAGAGTGTGCAGCTCCTCTTCCAGTGTGTCCCTGGACACCTTGAGCTGCGCGATCTCCGCCTCCAGCTCCGTGATGATGTCTAAAGTCCGCGGCTCGGTCAGAGGTGGAGGTCTGCTCTGCTGATCCCTGATTCGGTCGATCTCCTCTTTCAAATGGCTGTTCTCCTCCTTCATGCCTCCCAGGTGTTTCTCCTTCTCCTCCAGCGCCACTTTCAGAGCCCCCGCCTCCTTCTTCACCGCCGAAATGCTGTTCTGCATCTCCTTCTGCAGATCTGACGCGTTCTGTTTCAACGTGTCCATGAAGACGTCCTTCTCCTGCAGCAGGTCCGTCAGCTGCTTCTGCCCGGCGACAGTGATGGAGAGCATCTCGTTGGCGTCTCGGCGGTCGGACGCCTGCTGCTCGGCGTCTCTCCTGAGCTGAGCGATCTCCAGGTCCTTGTCCTGGTTCAGCTTGACGGCTCTCTCGTGCTCCACCTGTAGAGCCGAGGCGTCCATGGAGCGGGCCCTGCTCAGATCCTCGATGGTCTGCTGGTATTGTTTCGTCTGCTGGGCTAACGTCCTCTCCGCCTGCCCCAGCTCTCCCTCCAGCTGACCTTTCTCCAGCTTCAGAGCCTCGATGCGAGTGTCCTTCTCCCGTAGCGTCCTGCTCAGAGCCGCCTGGCTTTCCTTCTGCTGCTTGGTCAGTTCTTCACTTTCCCCCTGAGCATGCTCACTCTCTTCCTTCAACCTTCTGTTCTCCATCTTCAACTCGTAATCCTCCGACAGCGCCTTCTCCTGAGAGCTCCTCGTCTCCTTTAATTCCCTCCTCAGGTCGGACAAGTCCCTCTCCTTGGCTGCTAGCTTCTCTTCACTTCCTGTCTCCCTCTCCTCACCCAGCGCTGCTTCAGCACCAGATAGCTGTTCCTCTCGCTCCCGCAGAGTCTCCTTCAGCGCTGTGATTTCTCTCCTTGCCTCCTTGCTCTGCCCGTGTGCACTTCCCAGTTTGTCCTTCAGCTCCTTCACCGAGCGCTCCAGCTGCTGTTTGCCCATATGCATGTCGTTCAGGGTGAAGGCGCTCTGGCTCGTTTTCTCCTTCTGGCTCTCCAGCTCTCCCTCCAGCGCTCTCCTCTGGTCTCTGGTTGTGTTCAGCTCTGCAGACAGAGAGGACAGCTCCGCCTCGGCCTCCTTCAGCTGAGCAGAGAGCTGCTCCTTCACAGAGATCATGTGCTGGAGACAGAAACAATTGAAACAAAACACAAATATGTAAATATTCCATTTTTCTCTTATTGTGAAGGATTCCTACATCTTTTCCTTTTTAAATGAGTTGTTTTTTCAAATTTTCTCTTGATTTTTTATATATATTTTGCTCAACATGACGCGTTCACAATGTCTTCATTCATTAAAAACTCAATAGGCCAAATATGGAAGGAGTAAGTTAGTCATTTATTATTTCACACGTTCATATCACCACAATGTGGGAGATCTTAGTACGTTTAAAGTCCTAAACATTTCTATTCATATGCACCCGGAATGAGATATTTCTTACAGGCTTTTATAGAGTCTGTAAAGGATCAAATACAGGCAACACTTTCTACCAGTGCTTCTCAAAGTGTGGTCCGCTGGTGGTCCGTGAGCACCCCCTAGTGGTCCGTGAGTATATTGGTACAATTTCACATTTGAAATAAATAAATACATTTAAGTTTTCCGCACTCTCGCGGGACTATCTCCGCAATGGATCGAGGTTAAGTTTCACTTTCGATTGCATGATATAGCCCAGTGCAACACCTTCGTCACACATGTTGCCACTTGTTTATACCATCTTCAGGCGATTTGTAATATATTCTAGAAAAACGATGTGTTTTTTTTTGTGGAGTTAGGTGGTCCGCAAGTTTTTTTTTATTGGTTAAGTGGTCCTTGGTATGAAAAAG